CCCCCTTCTTCCTTCTTTTTCCAATGTCGCGTTGGCGAACGTTTCTCCTCTCGGCGTGTACGGATTTCTATCAGTTTTCCGCCGCAGAGCAGCATCGATATTTTGTCTCGTACATTCTACTCTATATCTCCTTCGATAAATTCCTCGACACACATGTTTAAAACATTCTACTTCGCGGCCGGTGATCTTTTCTCTTCGCTTTCTTTTCTTTTCTACTCGCGCACGTCTTCATGACTCTTGCCCACGCTTCGTTCGCTTTCTAATGAAAGGAAATGTTCATTCGACAGATTGGAAGAAACATACGGGGGGCTGTTACTCTCGAGTTTTAGAGACACGATCTTATTCCAGAATCGAAGAATACGTTGCACGTAAAATCTGTGTCAGAAAGAATAATTCGTAGTGCAACGAAATATCAGTCATTCATCGGTGTAGCTTACATTGTTATTTGAATTCATTTACATAAAAGTCCGTGTCTTCAACATGGTTAACAATGATTTCCTAAGGCACTTTATCCAATTTTTTATCCAATTGTAAGAACGATATATTTACGTTGATATAGGCTACACGGATATAACACTAAATTTGTCATGCTACGAGTTTCTTGGCAAATTCCGTCGATATCAACAACTATTTGAATTACTAATCAATCTCATAGGTAAATACAGAACCACCTGTCGTGGGTTCTGTAACAGAGAATCTTGCTATTGCTACGATATATATAATAGCTATTACAGCGTTCGATATTTGCTTATAGCCGCGTAATGAAGCGTTTCTATCCAAGCTTCTCTCGCTTTTTGGAAAGGAAACAAGGAAAACAGCCGCGCATGTCGCACGATCGTATTATATATAATATTGACATATAAATACATACATATTTCATCTTACAATTCGTATTTTGTACAGAGTACATTTATCTCTGCTGAAAAATTCACGACTGCTAGATCTGCAGTAACTTGAAGCTATACGAAAAACATTACAAAGAAAGTTGCGCTATGATGCAGAGCGAATGTTACAGGCGAATTGTGATACATCATGGATCGCCTTGCAATCTCTCCTAGGCGAGGAATCAGGATATAGAGGTTACGTTGCTGATCCAATCTTTTAGTTCAGCTATGGCTGTGAAGGTGGTTGGATACCGGCCGTCGCAAGATCGACTCCACGATGCTACTCCTATAAATGTCGACAACACCGTTCACAAATGACGACCGTGGACAGTATCGGAACGAAGCGCGATTTACATAATTAATACATTCGCGTATCTGAAATCTTTTTTTGCCATTAAAGTGGAAGTGAATATAAAAAATTAGGCGGCTCGACGCTCGCGTTCGTGAATTAAAAGTTTCAATCTCTCAGTTAGAAGTAATTAATTTTTTTTAAAAACTACTGGAATTAGTCGAGCCGGAATAATTCTACGTACTGTCTAACAATAACTTGAAAACGCGAACGTTTCATTAGCTGCGATTAAAATTGGAAATTTCGGAAAGAAGTAAGTTTACGTTACGAAGATTAAATGAATGACAAACGTGTTGAATGTATGAAAAATCGTTCGATTTTGTCGATCGATGTCAGAGAATTCTTAACTAATGTTAAAAACTCACCAAACAACTTGTTCTGAAAAACGAGAGGCGAGCCAGAATCACCGACGCAGAGTCTAGCGGTGTCCGATGCGGCGCAAAACATCCTGTTGGTTAATAAGTCACCGCCATTGGCTTCTTCGCAGTTCTGGTTATTAATTTTCCGCATCGTGCCGAATAGAAGTTCGTTCGAGACGGGGCCGAATAACTGTAATAAACGACCGCGTTACTATATTCCGCTTCGAGGCACGTTGATCCGAAAGTTTTTTCATACCTGGTGCACACCCCAACCGAGAACACTAACTAACGAGTTGTCGTCGATCATCGAATGTATTTTCGGCAGTTGAATCGGTTGCTTCGTGTTATCGTATTTTATTTTGCCCGAGAGCTGTGTCAAAAGAGATATGTTATTGGGAATAATAAATGATGCGAATCCGATTGATGTGGACGTGAAATATATCTACTACAATTCATATAGATATATATTTTAAATTTCTTTGAATTCCAAATGTGCAAGTTACGCGAATCACTCTGTATATCAGACGATGTGTTCGGAATTAGAATTTGCTCAACAGGGATTTAAGTTCAAGCTCATTTTCACAATTGTGTATGCCGAAAAATAGATGGATGGAATATCGTTTAGGTAGCCATGATTAATCGACAGTGCAACTTTCTACAGATTTTAACTGTCTGCGCTCGTTCGATGCGTCACCATTACGTGATATTAAACACGAGTTCGCGGTATTCGAACGTTCAACCGGAGGAGATGGATCGCGGATTTAAAAGCACAAAAGCACGTGAAAAATGAATTCTCTCGGCAACGAACCAATTATTAATTGCACCTTTTCATACCCGTTGCCCGCTTTCAACATTCGTTTCGATACGATCTTGACAATTGCAACAGCCACTAAATAGCGGCGACACGCACAGCAACAAGCGACAAGCGAGAACGTATTACCTCAACGAGACCAACGTCGTAGTCGTAATTAATTGCGTTAAAGGCAGGATGTATCACGACACTTTGGACACTATAAATGTCACCACCCTCGTAATAACGCGACGTGCCTGCTCTCACGTGAAATGCTTTCACTAGTATCCTGCGAAACAACAACACCGAAAAGTAAAAAGAAAAAGAAAAGAATGAAGAGATACTCGCACGAAAATCGTATGCACGTGGATATCGTTCGTAAAGAACGCGACAATTAATAGTAATTGTCGCTCGAAAATCTTTCCATTGAAGAAAACTTTTTTTATAACACAATTATTAATGTATTAACATTTTGCAGATTCTTTATTGTGTAAAATTACCAGGCCTTTGCAAATGAAGTGACCGAATTCTTATAGAACTTCTAGTTCAGTCCGTGAAATTATGGTTCGAAGTAATCGGAATAATCAAAATATTCTGACAATAACACATTTCAGACGAAGTTGTAATTATTAACTATCTTAGAATTATTGCAATCTTTTCTCCATCGACGAAAGATTATTTCCCCTCTTAAAGTATTTCTTTCGAACGACCAATTACGTTATATTCGATTAGCCTTTTAAGTCTTCTTCAAACTGACAGATATGGATATGAACAGTACTCTGAGTCACTAAATTCAAGATCGTGAAATCGGGCGTTTCACATGCAACAGCCTGATGTCATTTCATTTTTTTCTTTTTTTTTTTTTCTTCTTCAATTTTGCAACAAACTACTGGTACTCGTTCTGAGACTCTCGAGCAACGATATGTGTATATTAATCTTGCCTGAGGGCGCACTGCGCCGACGTTAGTATCCACTTCTCGCCGATGATACCGCCGCCGCAGAAATGCTCGACTTGGTGACCGAAAAATGTACCATTGTTCTGCAATGAGACCTGCGACAACGATTCTCTAAATGCCAAATCGACCGTGAAGATCGATCGCACGTTCATACCAACCGCAAATGGATATTCCTCTATGCGGATCCTCTTCCCTCCGATAATCCTGGATTCAGCCGGCACCGGCAATCCCGCTGACTTCGAGACGATTCTTTCTCGATAATCGGCTGTACAACATTCAAATCAGATGAATCGTTTAATGCGTTTTCGCGTGATATAAATATAGCTGCGCTGCTACGTCCGCTCGGTTAATTCCTTTGGAACGCACTCACTCTATTTCCTTCTACGTTAATTATTGTCTTCCGGTTAATTGTTGGGTTAATTACGTGGAAAATAGTGTTAGAACGTTTGTAACGGAGAGTTGAAGGAACCACGAGATTTCTAACTTGTATTAGAATAAATTGATAAAATGGAGTTAATACAAGATTTTTGTCTTGGAGTAGAGAAACAGTGTCGGGATATTTAATAGTTGACAGTTTAATTTTTGTTTCGAATTGATAAAATATGGAGGAAATAAGCTTTCCAGACAAATAAAATAGAACTGAAATCAACAAAACGAATGATACGTAGTTAATAAGTATGTTGATTATCTGAGCATCATTATTGTTGTTACGTTCAAATTTTTCAAACTAAGAGTCAATGAAATACATCTAAATGATCGTATAAATCATCACAAACACGTCCATAGTAATTTATTAATTTACCGATCAATAATTTGACCAACACTTTACCATCGACAAACGAATTCAATTCGAAACTCTAGTTGCACAACACCAAGACGTGTACACTAAGAATTCTAAAATACGAGTGTGTTTAATCAGAAAATAAAATAAAACTTTACACGAGACATGTGCGGAAATCGCGTAGAATATCGGCGAACCGATGATAACCAGGAACAACAGTGCGTGCATCGTGGCCACGTTTGAGATCATCGTAAGAACCGGTTGTTCCTTATAAAGCCGCAAATAATTTCTGCATAAACAATGCATTCCGGGAATTATTGTCTCGTTCTCTCATTTATCGGGAAGGTGCTAATGCTTCGACATTAAGGCTAAGGCTACGACATTAAGGGCTAAATCGTCTCTCGTAATAAACGTGTTTTCCGCACGCGGTTAGAAAATGGCTCAAGTTATTAAGATAACTAAGCTGAAAAACGCGTTAGCCCGTGTCGCAACATGTCATAAATTGGACGCTTTTTCACTCTTGTAAAATACCAACACTTGTTTAATCTAATTGAATAAATATTGATACTGCATCGATGTTGCAATCGCAGCAAATTCTCTTTTCTTCTTTTTTTTTTGATAAATTGTAGATTTAATTAAAAAAAAAAAAAAAAACAACAGGTAACAAGAAAAAAAAGACGAAATTTTCGCTTGACGAGTATTCTTAAATCGATAGTTACAATTTTATGTTGCAAGATGTGTTCAATGTGAGATAGGAATAAAAGAATTTTCCACTTTCGGTGGATTCTACACGGGTCTTCAAAACCGTTTACCTAATGTTTACCTAATTTCTATAATTAACTATCTTTGAACTCTGTTATTAGTTTATTAAATCTTCGTATATTCAATATAAAAGTACAAGCAGCTATTATATAAAGACATACGTAACACGTGAAAGTTTAAAAGCAAACTACTCTGCACTTTCGACACAAAGATCACAACGAGTTATTAACACGATCGTACAAACAACATAGCTGTAGATATGAATCACTGTTTATTTTAAATCTTCATTTGTCCCGATGTCTGCGACGATTCATCGGGACACTCGTTTAAACGAAGAATCGCTTTTCGATATCAATATCGCGTTGAGAGAACGTTTTACGTACACTCTTGACGATTATTCATCGCGGGGGCTAATTGACCTGTGCAAATGTCGGGTTAATATACGAGCCGCCCTGCTGTCTCCATAAATATGTAACGCCCCTGCAATTTTATCGTTCTCACTTGTAACCCTGTTTTTCTTTCTCTCTCTCTCTCTCTCTCGTCACGAAGCATCGAATTAATTAACGCGGGTGGTGCGCGTGCCGGAAGCTATTATATCCCCCCAAAAATAATTTTCAGTTACACGTGACGGTGCGCGCGTTGTCGTGAAACGAATCGTTAACACGGGATAAACATTCGGTCTGCCAACGACAGACGGAACAGGTACTCGCGTATCTCTTGCTTTTGTGCCCGAAAGCGTCAACAAGCATAGCCGAGTAACGCGATATTTATTATTAAATTAACATACATACTTCAAGCTGGAAATTTTGTTCACGCTTGATCCTTGTGCACCGACATAACACGATACAACGATCAACTCGAACATTCGTTGCTTCTGCTCGTCACTCTGATGTTCTCATTACCCATTTTCGGGAGTTTATTCCGACTAATGAGTCAACAACATAACGAGAATTCGCCACTTAATTTTACTTAATTGTTTCGAAGAAACACCGTCGTTTTGATTATCTTATCCGTTCAATTTCCGATAGAAAAACCTTGCATTATTATTTTCGAGAAAGTTTCCATATCGTTTTACCTAAAATTTCGATCATCGCTGCGTGCAACTTCGAAAGATCACGCTTCAAGAAAACACGGTTCGCACACGGTTGGATGTTTCAAGCTGGTTCACCGTGTTCGCCGTGTATATCCTATTCATTGTTTACCATTAGTTTGTTAGAGTTTCGTTTGTTCCTGAGTGACTGATCTCTCGCACACGGATGTAAATTTACCGCGAGTACATTTCGTGGTTAGAACGCGGAATCTGCCTGATTAATTGCAATTGGAATATTAATTCCAGACTTTAACACTAGAACTGCCAAAATGGTCAGAGTGACCGATCTATATAACTTCTCTTGGAAATTTTATAGATGTAAAACACTGTATTTATATACAGAGATTTTTCGTAGAAATAAAACCTTGTGTACTCTATTATATTATATAAAGTTTCGCTATCCCTCTGCCTATAATCTACCTGATGAAAATTCCAACTACTCTCCTGCCGGTTAAATACATCCCTCGGAAACTTCATCAATTCGTAAACGCGACGAAAAATATAGTTCAGTCGATACTCTGATGGTCGATGCCAGTCGAATCTTTGATACTTTGAGACTCTCGTAGCAAATTCCATCCTAACGAGTCAATGAACGCGGAGAATCGAACGCAGACGTGCTGTGAAATGACGTCGTTTCGATGTAGTTTCCGATCGTCGTGAAAAGATGGCGAGTGAAACGCAACGTAATCAGCCTGTGTGTGTGTGTGTGTGTCGTTTCACGATCCGCGTGATATCGTTGGCCCGCTTGCTGGTTGCGCGATCGTACACGCGGCAGCAATTTAACCCCGCTCTCTCGATGAGCAAAAATTATCATGAACGTAACAACGTGTTGGCGTATTTCATTCGGTTGTTTCCAACTGGGACCCTCTATTCACCCCGGCCTTCGCCAGTTGGATCGGCGAAAATATTTCAGCGTGACGCGCGCGCGCGCGCCGTTCGAATTGCGCAGCGAAATGTGCACTCGTAATCCGGCGTAGACGCGAATCCGCCATAAATTTGGATAAACGTCGTCCTCCCTCGTCCCCCACCCCCTACGATCGTTCGTGTCTGTCGTTCACCGTAATTTCAATAATCGTATCGCGACCGATACGATGTATACACGTTCGACCAACTCTTTTTACCTCTTCCTTCTCCTCTCTCTCTCTCTCTCTCTCTCTCTCTCTCTCTCTCTGTCCTTCTTTTGCCCTTTTATCGGCGATCCGACTGTCGCAGCTGAGAGTCACGAGTCGATTAAACGCTCGAACGATAAAGAGAGATGCATCACTTCTCTTGCGCAATGCCGCAATCATTGCGGTGTGCATCATTAATTCGTTCGCATGCGACGGTGGCTTTTCGTTAGTACGTGTCCACGTATTTTGCTGGAAAGAAGGATTTATGATATTGAATGTGCTTATTAAGGGAAATGGGGATTATTTATTAGCAAATAATAGAACAATTAATTTACAATTAGGTAAAAGTAGATAATGTAATAATTGCATA